CTGGGGATGACAGGTATCACCAGCACACCCGCCCCTGTTACTCTTGAAGCTCATGGGACTCAGCACCCTCTGGGGCAGTGATGTGTCCCCTCAGTGAATATTGTCCCCTCATTCCTGGGCTGTCCACTTTACTGTGAGCTCGAGGGCAGGACCGTGGTGAGTGCTGAGTGAGTCTATGTGTCCAGCACATTGCAGGCCTTCAGAGAGCTGAAGAGATGGCATTAGAGCTGGCTGAGGTCTGCCGGGGTCTCACACATTGGCAAAAATACAGCAGAAATACGAAGATGCTGTCCCTGCAGAGCAGGGAAGTATGCTGGGCTAACCCTGCAGGGCCTGGAAGGGATGTCTACAAGGCCTTAGCAGAGGGACACCTTTGTCCCAAAATAGCAGGACACTGTAAGAGGGTGGAGCCCCCAGGATGCAGCCTGAGACCCGCATCCTGCTCACCCTCCTGGAAACAGAGTAAGACCTGGCAGGGGCCAGGATCTTTGCAAACTGTTAGAAACTGTTTAAGGTGGGTGTGGTGGTACATCCCTATAATCTATCACTCGGAGGCGGAGGCAAGAGGATTTAAAGTTTGATCCTAGCCTGGGAAATTTAGCAACTTACCGAGACTGTCTCAACATAAAAAATAAAGAACTGGGCATGTAGCTCAGTGCAAAGGCCCTGGGTTTAATCCCCACTCTGAAAACCAAAACCAAACCACAATAAAACCTGTCTTCTGTCCTGTAAGAAAGAAATTAAGTCTAGGAGACATGGTGGGGCATGCCTATATCCCATACTCAGGAGGCTGAGGCAGGAAGAAGGATCACTGAATTAGTTGGAGGCCAGCCTGGGCTACATAGGAAGATTCTCTCTCTCTCTCTCTCTCTCTCTCTCTCTCTCTCTCTCTCTCTCTCTCTCTCTCTCTCTCTCTCTCTCTCTCTCTCTCACAGAATCGGGGATTGAACTCAGGCTCTTGCGCTTGCACTTATTTTACTGAGCTCTCTTCCTGGCCTCATGCTGTCTCAAAAACAAACAGAAAATAAGGGAAGGAACTTCAGGGCTGGGAGGTGTAGCTGTGTGTTAGATGACATGCTTAGTGTATGTGAGGCCCTGGGTTCTGTCTCTAGCACCTCTAAAAATCAATAAGCAATTCATTCCAAGGTAAGTTGAGACTGGGGACATTGAGCCCCCTGCTGGACCTACAGAATCCCAGTGACATGATTTGAGCTTGGCTACAGGAGCTGCTGACTGACCCATTCTTACAATGATAGGGCTTATGGCTGGGGGAGAGGAAGTGGGAGGTGACTCAGGGCTGAGCGTTGTGTACCAAGTTAGTACAAGAGTTGGCGCTGGCCGCCTAGAGCCACTTGGGCTCAGGAGGCTGGCACAGGGTCACCCCGTCCTCTCAGCAAGCCTGGCTGTGGCCATAGCTATCACCCTGTCTTCCCCACAGGAAGAAGCACCGGGAGCTGAGTGGGAGCACAGAGGTGGGCACGACGCCCACGAGCCCTGGTGAAGGTAGGTCCATCCCAGCTAGGACTCCCTTAGGAGTGGCATGGGCGAGGCCCGTGGGTGCCTTGCCAGCTCCCCTCATGGCCCTTCTGCCTCCAGCCCCCAAGGACCCTCTGGCGGCCCTGCTCGGGGTGCTGCAGGACCTCCGGGTGTTGCACAGCTCAAGCCTACCCAGCCCACCCTCCTCAGAGCCCCATTGTACCCTGGAGCTGCAGACGTGAGCAGGCACTGTGCCTTACCCTGTCAGTCCCCTGTGCTGCAGGGCAGGCCTAGGCGTCTCCTGGGTATGGTCACCTGAAATCTGGGGACATGGGGACGCCAGTTTCTCTGGGAGGCCTAGCTGCTTCCTGCATCCCTGCAGCCCTTACTGTCCCTGACCCACCATCTCCTGGAAGTATGCCCACGCTAGGCCAACCTAGCCCACAGCCACCCAGGACAGTCTTGGCCCAGGAGACTGGGCATGCACCTCAATGTCTCTTCCTTCCTACCACTGTGTGGCCCCCAGGGTGTGGTGTCATGGTGCTCCTTTACCCATAATAAACCTGCTAGACTGCCAAGACTCTGAGGTCTTTGATTGGGGGGAGGGAAGCTCCTGGGGCTGCAGCCAAGGACTGGACCACCAGCAGAGCCCCTGCATCCTTGTCCCCCACTTTTACTTCTTTCCTGGAGCAGGGGCCCCTTCTCCTGGCTGCTGTTACTACTTTGCTTCTCCATCAGCACAGGCTGTGGGGCCCCACAGGTCTTCCTAGTGTCACCTCTCTCCTCAGAGCAGCTGTCACGTGAGATGTCACATCCCCTTCCTCATACTTGCTGAGGCCATGGCATGGGCCCAGCGGAGTTGGCAGTGCTGAGCTCCCAGCTGTGTCCTCAGTGACTAGGCTCAAGATGCCTCCACGGTCCATCCCTTCTGTCACTCTTGGACCCCAGATCGCACAACCCACCCAGCCCACCCTGGCCCACAGGATGTGTCTGATGCCTTCTTCTCTAGAAGCCCCAGGCTGGTGCTGCTCTCAGTCCACAACACTTGCATTGGGTTCAGGCCCCTCACCTGGAGGCTGGGAACCTCAGGTGCTTGGGAACCCGAGTGCCCTGGGAGCTGGTCTGTTCATCCTGGCCCATCCCACTGAGCTCACCAGGCCCAGGTGGAGCTCACTCTGCCTAGCAATGCAGACCAGTTCCCAAGGGACGGCTGAGATGGCTCTCAGGTGGCTGAGCAGCAGATGATGAGGGTGGGGCTCTTGTCATCTCTGTACCCTGTCCCTTGTGGCTGACTGGTGGCAGGCCACAGGATGCTGGCACTGGAGACAGCCTGGGGCCAGCTTGGCTGGAGCCTCTGTGTCTCTGAAGGCCTCCAGACTACTCAGCCTCCTGTCCCAGCGCCTCATAGCCGAAGCCTGGCTCCTAACAGCAGCAGCTGACAGACAAGAGTCCCTGCAGGTGGGGACTGCTCTAATTAGTCTTCCCCACATCCATTCATTGCTTTCTCACCTGTCAACCTTTTAAAATCATTTTTTTTAAAAAAGCTATTAGGCAAGAACAGTAATTTTCCCAAGGTCAGGAAAGTAAGACACATGGAGAGGCGTGGGCCCTCGAGCTCCGAGTTCAACCAGGATGTTTAAAACAATCTTCAAGCTGGACATTACACCTGTAATCCCAGCACTAAGGGAGGCTGAGGCAGAAGAATCGCAAGCTCAAGTCCTGAGCAATTTAGTGAGATCCTGTATCAATTAAAAAAAAAAAAAAAGGAGTGGGCCCTGGGTTCAATTCCTAGTACTAAAAAAAAAAGTTGAGGAAAGCTGATTCATAAAGCACTTTGAGGGGTAACAACCTCAGTAGCCCCTCCTGTCCCTCTTTCAGACAGGAGCTTTCTTTCCCTCAATGAATATATTCTTCTCACAAAAAAAAAAAAAATAAATAAAATAAAGCACTTTGAGAGTCAAGGCAGTCTGAGAGATGAATGTTAGGATAAGGCTGTGCTGTTTGACACAGAGCTGATTAATAGTTTTCTTTATTGTCAGTATTTGGACTTAATAAATAGCAAAGCCAAACACAGGCATAGTTTCCAAGATTAGGGTTAGCAAACTAAAGGGCCAGGCAGGCAGATCTTAGTCACATCCATTTTACCACACAACACAGAAGCAGCCCTGGATGGTGTGGAAAGAAACGCAAGTGACCTCTACAAGAACAGGTGGAAGGAGGGCTGAATCTGGTCCTGTGCAGGCCCTAAGTATGCCTACCCCTGCTCCAATAAGTGTTTCTGGGGTACCACTGACAGCATATGTGGAACACACACCCTTTAGTTTGTTTCCAAGGTGATAGTTTTTCTAAATGCTCTGTGCACCAGCTGCCACTTCTGTAGTTGTGCTTGTCTCCCTGAGCCTACGAGAAAATGCAAATGTCCACTTGGCCTCCTTCTGGGCCTCCCAACACAGCCACTGGAAATATTGCAGGTTGATGTCTCCTGCAAACCACATCTCATTGGTCTGGGAATTAAAAGGCAGGTGTAATCAAAACTCTCCAAGAGCTCAAGCTTTCACAGTGCCAGTGATGGAGAAGCCCCAGGTGGGTAAAATCGTATCCCTGCCCCATGAAGAGTGGTCAGCGTCATCATCTTCAGGCTTGCAGTATCCTTGCCTCAGGTTCTTCCAAGAAAACCCACAAGGATGGGGGTGACATTGGGGTGTCCTCACCCCCACTGCTTTCTATTTCCCACCGTGCAAAAAGCCTCTCAACCACTTGGCCTGGAGGGTCAAGGTCCTGTGTGAAGTTCCTGGAGAGTGACTCTTCCTCAGCCCAAGAGTCAGGGCTGTAAGACAGAAATGGCATTAGCAACGTCAGCTCCGGATTCTCTTGGGAGCCATCCAGCCCAGAACAACATCATCAAGATGTTAGGGCTGTGTAGCTCAACTCAGTCCCCAGCTCCTGTTGCTTCAGACAGCTCTGTTAGAGCCTTCATACTTAACCAGAGTCTGCAAAACATCAACCAGCTGGCCCAAGGGATAGTAGCCTCATGGCGCGGACAAACTCTCACATCTGTATGCACTCGTCTCCTCCCCCAACCCTCACCCTGTTTTCCAGCTAGCACGATTTGGTGACATCCTGCCCGGGGTCTTGGGCGCAAGTACCCATGAACATGCTCCTGGGCCAGAGAGTTCTTCAACCCTCTGGCCCTCCTGCTGTCAGCCACAAATGCCCACTATCCCCGTGACTCCATTCTCTACTTAATTGCCACTCCAAGGCACATTTTCAGGGATCAGGGAATGGGGAGTCGAGAGGTGCACAGACAGCTCTGAATTCCCGCTTAGCTTGAACCGCTGTCAGCAGAAGCAGAGCAGCCCATTCAGCGCACTGAGCGTGGACCAAAGGCGTCCACTGGGGAGGTGACTTTTGGGGTGACGCATGCGCAGAGCCCGCGGCCCCTCCCCCCGCGGCCGCTCCTGCTCCTGCGTAAGGTCCTCCGGTCCGACAGGGGGCGAAGAGGCGGTGTTTAAACTGCCCGCTCTGGTTGAAGCCGAAGGAAGTAACATTCGTATTTAGGACTGTGACGTTGGTGGCCTCCTCTAGCCTGCACCGGAGTGTACCGCCAGGATGAACGCCCCTCCAGCCTTCGAGTCGTTCTTGCTCTTCGAGGGCGAGAAGAAGTAAGTGGAACGGCCATGGCGCCTAGCGGCGGACCGAGGCCCTCGGGCCTCGTCCGGCGGTGGTCGGCTTCTGCGGTTTCTGCTACCCCAGGGACGGAGCAGTTTGTTTTAGGTACTGGAGATTGAACCCAGCGTCTTCGCTACGTTCCCAGCTCTTTCGTGATTATTATTATTTTTATTTTGTGACAGAGTGTCTCTAAGTAAGTTGCCCAGGCTGGGTTCGAACTTCGTCCGCCTGCCTCGGCCTCTCTATGCCGGGATCACGGGCGAGCGCTACCACGCGGGGCTGCAGAGCTGATCTTGCGGGGCGTGACTGCCGGATTGAAGGCGGCATAGGAAGGCAGTGGCGACCGCACCTATTTTGCAGATGAGGAAACGGAGGCTTGGAGAAGTTGAGTAACTTTCTCCGAGCTCCCAGGAAGTGGTGGAGCCTGTTTTGGAACTCAGAGCCTGGGCCCAAGGTTCTTTTCCTCGGGAGCCTGGCAGCCTCCTCACTTGTCCCCCACCTAGTACGGCCATCCTCAGGGCAGTAACCACTTACGGCTGTGGAGCTGATCCCTGTGTCACTGCCGGTGGAAAACCTGTAGTGACTCTGCTGCCCGCAGTGAAGACCAACGGTCAGACTGCTTGTTTTGCCTGAGATTTAGTTTCCTCATGTGGTAAATGAACTTACCACTGTTGTTTTTGCTGTTTCTTTTTTCTTTCTTTCTTTCTTTTTTTAAACCCGAGAGTAGGTGTCACTATGTAGCTAGCCAAGGCTGGCTTTGAACTCGGTGATCCTGCTGCCTCAGTCTCTGGAGTGTTGTGATTATAGGGATGTGCCACTGTGACCAACTCTTTATTTACTCTGTTTACCCATAGAATTTTCTCCTAGAGGAGGATGTTTGTGTCTAGGATTGAGCACATTGGAAACCTCTGAAATACTGGCCTTCCCAGAATTTAAAAAAAAAGAATAATAATATATACATATTTGGAAATAAGTATATATTTAGAATTAGCCACCTGGACTCTATTTGTATTTTAGGGAAGGGTCTACAGGGTGTTCAAGGTCTCACTACTAGATCGGACTCATAGTGATCCTCCTGTTTACAGCCTCCCAAGAGCTGGGATTACAGGCGCGCACCACCATGCCCAGTCTCAGTTGCCATCTCTATTGGCTTTGACATCCACAATGAACACAAGTGTGGTGTTGTCCTTAATCTTCTTCATGGCTGACTCTGTGATCAGGGGGAACTTTGTTGATGATGGCATAGTGGTCAAGCTTGTTTCTCCTGGGGGCACTTTTCTGAGGAAATATGGGCTGCAGTGTCTTGGGATGGTGGAAGGTGGATGACGTTTTTATCTTTTTTTGCGGCTGTGGATGCCTTTCAGCATAGCCTTCTTGGCCTTCAAAATTTTTGCTTTGGCTTTAGCTTTGGGAGGGGCAGGGGCCGCCTTCTTTGCCTTCCATGCCATCTTGGTAAAAAGGCTCAGCCTTCTCAGTCTTTTTTTTTTTTTTTTTTTTTTTTTTTGTGGAACCGGGGATTGAACAAGGGCACTTGCGCTTGCCAGGGAAGCACTTATTCCACTGAGCCATCTCCCCAGCCCCCTTCTCAGTCTTAACAGTTCTGACTTTTGCCAGGTCTACTCCTTTAGGGAAACTTTCAACTGGGGAATATTTTGTCCCTAAGGGATTCTTTGACAATGTCTGGAATCATCTGGGTTGTCTCATATGGCAGCTTTGTTAATTGGCATCTACTGGGTAGGGACCAGAGATGCTATTAATGTCCTGCACTGAAATGGGCATGGCTCAAATGGAAGTTTAAAACCATATTCAGGGGCTGGCGAGATAGCTCAGCAGACTAAGCGCTTGCTTAGGCAAGCACAGGCACCAGGGTTTGATCCCTGGTACCATATGCCATGCCCCCAGCGGTGGGGTGGCTGAAAACAGGAGGATCACTAGGAGTCAGAGCTGCATAGTGAGACCCTGTACAAAATATATAAAATAATAATAATAAAAACCCCACATTGGAGCACTGCATGGTGCCCCAGGACTCCCAGAGACTGAGGCAAGAAGATTGCAAGTTCAAGAGCAGTCTGGACAATTTAACTTGGCAGAACTCTGTGGAATAATTAAAAAGGGCTGGGAAAGTAGCTCAGTTGCATGGGGAAGTGGGGGGGGGGGTCCTATGTTGTACAAGCAAGCTCCTTACAGGAATGGCTAAAATGACCATGCTGAGGCCAGGGAGATGGCTCAGTAGAATAAGTGCTTGCCTGGCAAGGGCAAGTGTTCAATCCCTGGTTCCACAAAAAACAACTAAAATGACCATGCTGTGGAAGTTAAGCAGCTCTGGGTAGGTGAGGGTTCCCAGCAAGTGCCCGGGTACCGACACTGTGCTATCACACCTTGGTAGGGTCGTGGTGCTGGGGCTGGAACCAGGGCCTTGTTCAACTCTTCTCCTGAGCCACACTCAGCACTCAGAGATAGGCAGAGGGAGCAAGGTTTCCGGGAGAAGCCTCAGATCTGAGTAAACAAGGGAGCTCTGTCAACTGTTGCCTCTGCTGCTTCCTAGGATCACCATTAACAAGGACACCAAGGTACCCAATGCCTGTTTGTTCACCATCAACAAAGAAGACCACACCTTAGGGAACATCATTAAATCGTAAGTTCCAGGTCAGAGGCCTTCGAGGCCAGGCACAAGTCCCACGAGATTCTCTTCTGTCTCTGAGCGAAAGGAAGTGCTCCAGTATTCTGCAGTTCCAGAGCTGTTTTTCCAAAATGCTGTTAACCCTTGTCTCCTCATGTAGGGCTCCATGTGTCCTAGGCTCATCTGTGTGACTAAGTGAGCAAATGTGCAACAAGTCGTGGGAAAGCAGGCCTGCACGAGGTGTCAAAATTAGCTCCCCCACCCCCTCCTTGTGACAGTGATCTCAGTGACTGGCACTCAGAGATGTTTGTGGCAGTGACTGTGACTTTTGTACAACGAGGGAAGGAAGTTGAAGGCCATTCTGAGGTTATCCAATGCCCTCATGAGTACTCAACACAGGCTATTAGGCCTTCCTTTATACTAGTGAATACCCAGCTAGGTAGGTGGTCAGGGACACGAGTGTCCTGCTGAGACTTGTCATTTCCTATGAAGACTCAGCACTTCTCTCTGGTGTGGAAGCATCTGGGGAAGAGAAGGTAGGTGGGCTTTTCCCAGGCTGCCATGTTGGAGGCTACGGGCAGCAGTGCCCAGTGTCCAGGTGTGGGATACCCACCTTCTGGGTGCCTCCTGCCCTAAGCAGGCTAGTGGGATGCCCTGCTCTTCCAGGGCCTGCTGTGAGTCAAGTGTTCCTTTTTGTGCAGACAGCAACCCCCCTTTTTTTCTTATAGGACTAGGGATAGATTCCAGGGCCTTTACACTGCATGGATCCCCAGCCAACCCTTTATTTTGAGACAAGGTTTCATGGAGTTCCCCAGGATGGGCTTGAATTTATGATCCTACTGCCTCAGTATCCCAGAGTACTAGGATTTCAGGCCAGTGTCACTTATCCTGGCCAGAAGTCTCCCTTGTGTGCTGCCACTCGCCTTGAGCTGCCCTAGGCTGCCCAGTGTGGCCAAGGCACAGAACATAGGACAGGCTTCCATTCCCCCCACCTCCCATGCTTCATGGAGCAGGGCCTGCCCAGGGTGTGGATGGCACTGCCAGCGTGAGGCCTAGGGACTCCATTGCCCTTTCAGTGGCTGCTTGGAGCTGCTGCCTCCCAGGTTGGCTGTGCTGATGCCTTAAGGTCTGGGAATGGGGCTGTGATCTCTCCCGCTGAACTCTGCTGGGTAGGTGGGCATAGAGGCAGACCTGTGGCTGCCTCAGTCACCAGAAGCCATTTCCTAGTTGTAGTCTTCACGCCTCACAGATGCAAGGTGGGATGGGGGTCCCCAAATGTTATGACTTGGGTATCTTATTTGGGGAAAGTCCAGGCTAGAAAGTCAGGAGCTGGTGCCAGAGCCCAAAGCTCCTTTCATGCCACCTGTCCCCCCTTGCAGGCAGTTGCTGAAGGATCCGCAGGTGCTGTTTGCTGGCTACAAAGTCCCCCACCCCTTGGAGCACAAGATCATCATCCGTGTACAGACCACTCCGGACTACAGCCCCCAGGAGGCCTTCACCAATGCCATCACTGACCTCATCAGTGAGCTGTCCCTTCTGGAGGAGCGGTTCCGGGTGAGGTACAGCGCCGTGTCGGCCTGGTTGGCAGGACACTGGCCTGCACGCCCAAGCTGTAGCATTTGCAGCCCTCCACCAAGGACAGTGGCTTGTAGGTGGGAGATGGACAATGGTGACACCAAAGGGACCTCTCCCCATAGTGTGGCTGGGAGCCAGAGCCAAGGCCTGCTGTCTGCTACAAAAGCTGGTATCTTACTGAGTGGCTAGGATCTTGTGCTTCCTGTGGGCCTGGGCACCTCCTACCCTTTTAGGCTGCTCTGGTTTGCAGGGCCTATCGCTTCCATGTGTTGGTGTAGAGGCCAGCTGATCCCAGCAAGGGGGCCAGAGTGCAGAGCTGTTCAGAGTGGGAAAGAGCTACAGTTCGGCAACCTCCACATAGTGTCTGTGCTGGGGCCCCTCGCCCCACCTGACTTGGGCAGCAGCAGTAGGCACTGGAGGAAGATGGGGCGGCAAGTGCCAGCTGAGGGTACTCCCTGCTGCTCGCTCTGCTCAGGGCTCTTGGGGGCACTGTGGTTATGGCACCCACTTCCTGGTGGACCCTGGCAGGGGACACACGCTGTTTGCAACTCCCTTGTCCTGGCCCTCCCAGCTAACTCATATTTTTTTTTTTCCTGTCCCCAGGTGGCCATTAAAGACAAACAAGAAGGGATTGAGTAGGCAGCTGGAAGTTGTGTGGCCTGGGACGCCACTGCTGGAAGCTTGCTTGAGGCACAGTGCAGAGGACAGCAGCCAGGCCCAGCTGCAATGCCCAGGGCTCCTCTGGTGAACCGGCCCTCACACGAGGCATCCTGTAAAGTTTCATCTTTCTAATAGAGGTGACTTCACAGCAAGTGGACTGTCAGGTCCCAGGAAGGCAGTTAACCTGTCAGACACCCTGACTGTGGAACCTGAGGGCTGCCAGTGAGGTGGTCTGGAGAAGGGACCTGAGAGCCTGTCCACGCTTTGTTCTGGAAGTTTAGCCAGGTCCATCTGACTTACAGCAGGAGCCAGGATGGGCCCAAAGGACAGCACACAGTTCTCCATAGGCTGCATCACAAAATTTAATAAAAATACTCACTGATAAAAAACTCTCCATCATTTGCCATACAGTAAACTAATGTGTCCCTGGTCCTGCAGAAGCAGGTGTCCTGTCCTGCTAACATCTTTTCCAGATGGCTACAATGTTGGAATCCGTCAGGGCCGTGAGGTAGGTGAAGGCAGCGTTGGCCACCACCATGTTCACCATGGTCTTGGTCACTGGCTGGCCTCCGGCCCTTGGCTGGGGCCACTTAAGGATCTGGAGGGGAAAAGAAGGGGCTGGGCTCCTGTTTCTCAGACACCAGCCCCAGCCTGGGAGGCACCCATGTGGGGACACTACCTGTGTGGGGGCCTGTGGGGCTGCTGGTGGGGGAGATGGCTGCTTCAGGATGTTTCTGACGTCATAGATCCATACACTGCCCTCTTCGTCCCCGCAGAGCACCATCCCTTGATCTGCAGGACAGAGGGGTGCTTAGGGTGGGACAGTAGTGGAGCTGAGAGGTGAGAACAGGAAGGGCAGGCTCACCAGAGCAGGTGCTGAGTGAGAAGTAGGCCAGCTCCGTGGGTGACCACTGCAGCTGAGCCAGGACAACCACAGCCACTGAGGACTTGCTGCCCCGGTGTAGCCACGTCTGGCTCCAGCTCCACAGGCAGATGGTGCCTGGGTTGCTCCCCTTGGAGGCTGTGGGGAGAAGAGACTCATTTCTGGGCTGGGCCCTTGCCACCCTTCCCGCCGCAACCCATGTGGGTCTCAAGCCAGGCTGTCCCAGGCTGGGTGCGCTCACCCACGACATCATCATTCACAAAGGCCAGCCCGTCCACTCTCCTTGTTGATGCCTTAGAGTCCTCGGAGAAGATGAACTGCACCTCACACCCCCTGCAAGTGGCAGAAAGCGAGGCTTGATGCTCTGTACCCACCTCCAGGTCTGCCAGACAACTGTTCTGGGCCCTGTCCTGGTGACAAGTAGAAGATGCCACCGAAAGCTGCACTTCTGAAGTTTGGCCTTACCCTGAAGGGGCACTGGCACCTGGCCACACACTAGGACAGGCAGAACGGAGGGCTGTTGTGTGTGGGGTCACATCTAGGCTTGCCCAAGGCCTGGGAGAGGCAGCCTGGGGCTGTGAAGGCAGGCTAGCACCTAATGGGAGGGCCTGAACTACATACCAAAGGGGATGAGAAGACACATCTAAGACGAAGAGATGCCACGAGACTTGGGGACAGGTAGATGTGGCATGAAGGAAGAAGGCAGGACCAGGTGTGGCAGGACTAGCTGGTTGGGAGCCACTGCCAGCACCCAGCTGTGACTTGTGCTTGAGATAACAGAATCTGACGTTGGCCGGTGGGCCCTAACCCAGGCAACCACGCCCTCACAGAGCCAGCTATGGCCAGATGTGGCCCGTGGCTCCCCCACTGCGCGAGCAAACCCCTCCTTAGCCCGGCTGACCAGCTCACAGCCTTCCTGGGAGCAGCCTGAGAATTCATGCCCACCCTATGTCATGTTAGAGTGCCTCGGTATACCACTTTAGTGTCCTCTTCGTCACTTTTCCCTTTGCTGCTGAGGTCACCCTCTGTGGGATTTTAGTTGTCCCTGTTTGATGGCCCACCATCCTGTGTTCCATGAGGGCAGGGACCCACATGCTAGGAGCAGGGATAGGAGGCTGAGCACTAGCCTGACAGGCTTTCCAGGTGGTACAGCTGAGACATAGCCTCCATGGGCCATTTCTCCACCCCATCCCTGTTTATACATCTCCTTGCCCTCTGCTCACTCCACTCCTCCTTTACAGGTGAGGGAAGACCTTAGGCTAGGACAAGGAATGTCCCAGGCTGACTCGCACAAGTAGCACTGGGCTTAGCTGGTCAAAGCATAGTGTTTGTGAAGCCTCATATTCAAGGTGAGGCAAGGCCCAAATGGTCTCTCAGGCTGCTGGGAGTCCAAGTGGCTGACTGCCCAGCTGCTGGCCCTGGCCCACCAAGTCCCCACCAGCCTCACCTCCTCTTTTGGGGCTGATCCAGCCGTACATCCCAGCAGCAGCAGCCACCCTCACAGCCAGCCAGCAGGTGGGTATCAGGGCAGGAAGCAACAGGGCAGAGGCGCAGGGGGATGGAGGTGGAGTCGAGTATGAGGAGCTGACTGCCAGGAGGTGAGGGGCCAGCATAAGTCCTGGAGCCCAGGCAACTTCCTGCCCGGTAGCTGGACTCACCCCGGACCCATCCCAGACCTGCCCTAGCCTCACCTGGCCCGGAACTCATAGTCCTGGTTGGGCACGCCGATGTCCCAGAGAATGATCCGCTTGTCGTAAGAGGCCGCTGTGGGGGAAGCAGCCCTGAGGAGGCCCTACTCTCTCCTGCAGGTTACATCCCAGGTAGAGACCTGGCTCTCAGGCCAAGAGTGAGGCTAGAAGATGGCATGACTCGGGCTTACAGTTCCCACCATCCTGCTAGAGCTAATGTGCCCAGCGCTGTAACTGCCTTTTGCAGCTCGTTCAGTATCCTTGGCTTCACCATAGCTGGCGGGGCCAGGGGTGTCTCGCGCAGGTTGCAAATAGAGAGGTCCTGGCTGCCAGGAAAATTGCAAGGCAATAGAGTGGACTGGGGATAGTGCTGGGATCCCAAGCCCAGTCAGTCAACCACAAAGCCATATATGTCCTAACAAAGCCAGAGCTGAACGCAGTGGCCCTGAGCTCCCTACCATCCCAGTGAAGGGACACTAGACTCTATCAGGTAGCAGGCCTGGGGTGCTGGGGGAGCCCCAAATGGGGAGTATATCTTACTGAAGAGATGGGTCTCATGGGTAGGGCTGAAGCAGAGGGTGGCAATGGCCTTCTTGTGGGCCCGGATGACTCCACAGCAGAAGCCGGCACGCACATGCAGCAGGCGGACTTGACCTCGAAGGCCTGCTGCCGCCAACACGCTCCAGCGCTTCTTGTGGCCAGCCTGGGTGACTACCATTAGGGCTGTCCAGGCCACAGAGAAGAACTCCTGGGGAGCAGTGGGAGGAGTGGTCAACAGAGCAGAGCTACAAGTGTGAATGCCCTTACAGAACGAGGCCTTGGGAAGGGAGGGCCCAGCACCAGCAAACAGCCACCGAGGGCTGAGGTGCGGCTCGGCTGTGGAGCACTGGTCCACATGGGAGGCCAGGACTTCAATTTCCAACATGACGAAAGTCATGACAAAAAGGAGCTCCCATCTGCAGGAGCAGGGCCCTGGCACTCACCTCCCCAGGAGCCTTGTACTTGTGGAGGACAATACCCGTCTGGCAGTCAATCACACATACAGCCTCCCCACCACATGTGGCCACCGTCTGGGATGTGGACCCCGAATGCCCTGTTGTGAGTGGTCAGCAAAGTGAAAACCTTTTCCGTGAAGATCCATCTACAGCTTACTCCTCTTGGCCTCATAGGTATGTTCGTGGTGCTGGACACTAGGCCTGGGACCTTCACACCGAGCTACATCTTCAGCTCCTTTTACTTATACGTAAGCCAGGGTCTCATCCAGCTGCTCAGGCAGACTTAAACAGGATTATCCTTAGTTTCTCGGAGTGCTGGGGTTACAGGCATGTGCTATCACCACTCCTGGTTCTCTATAACACTTTTTATAGTCTCCTTGAAGGACTTCAAAAAAAAAAAAAAACCCTTGCATTTCCACACATTCCTCCTCCCTATGCTATTTTTGTTCTCATACAGATGAAACAGTAACTTTTGTCCCTATAAATAAAGTTTTATAACCTCTTGTTCCCACAACATCCTGTTTTGTCTGAGCAAGGCCACTAAGATATATTAAATTGTAAAACTGTCACAGCTTAGCAAATTGCCTGTTTTCTACTTCTATAAACTTGCCCACCCACAAGTTTTGAGGCTTTAGCGGGACCTACCCCCTCAGTAATACATATATAGAACAGAACCCTTCCTTTGTTCAGGGCTTAGCCTTTTGGGCCCAAATCTGCTAAATTGGTGCACACCTAAAATAAAATCCTCTCTCTCATGGTCTGTTTGGTCTTTCATTTTATTGTCTGGTTTTTAAATTGTGCAACACTCTGATTCTGTTTCCATCCAAGGCGGCATCCCAAAAGCCCTGCTGAGAACATTTGAGTGGACTGGTTTCCCCGGGTCTTCACCCTCCCACTGCCCACCTGGCCCAGGGCGCACCTTCCTCCCAGGCTGGCTCGAAGGCGCAGGCCCACAGCTGGGTCGTCAGGTCCTGAGGGCTGTTGTTCCTGCTGTGGCACTGCAGGAAGTGCAGGGGCTCCATCTGCAGGCCAGGCTGTGAGTGCAAGGGGATGGGGGTGTCAAGGCTGTCCCAGCTTCTGGCCCAGGACCCATTCCCTGCCACCTTACCAGCTTACCTGGCTGCCCTCCACCTTGGCTGGCAGGGAGGCACACATTCGCTTGATGGGAGAGAGGTTGAGGGGAGAGCTTTCCAGGCGCTTCATGGCTGCTAGCCTGACCTGTGGAGAAAGCCTTGTAACCATGGGACCCTTGCCTGGGGCTTATTCCAGATTGCAGGTTACACTCTGCCCTACCAGAGGCAGACAGCAAGGGTTGGGTCAGGGTCAGGGAGGGAGTCTGCTGAGTGTTGAGGTCTGAATCTTTAATGTCTCCCAAAGGCCTGTATGCCAAAAGTGTGGCTGTGGACCTGTGGCACTAGTGGGAGGTGGGGCCACTAGTGGAAGAAGCTAGGGCACTGGGGCATGCTCTTGAAGAGGTCCCTGGCCCTTTATCACCCAATCTTTTTTTTTTTTTTTTTTTCCCTCTCACTTCTGATTGCTTCTACCACACATACCTGCTGGGACATATGTGCCACCACAGGCTCAAGTGACCACAAACTGATACTGTGAGCAAAAATCAATCTTTCTTCCTCAAAAACTGATTAGTTGCTGGGTGTGGTGGCGCATGCCTGTAATCCCAGCACTTGGGGGGCTGAGGCGGGAGGATCGTTGCAAGTTTGGGAACAGCCTGGGCTACACAGTGAGCTCAAGACCAGCCTGAATTGCATAGTGAGATCCTGTCTCAAAAACAAAAAAACAAAAAACAAAAGTGGTTGTCTCAGGTACTTTCTCACATTAGCAGAAAGGTGACTAATACTAGGTAGTAGGGCCAACTAGCTCCTGAGCTCATGGACTGTTTGTTTTTTTGAGCTCATGTTGGTGACTTTCTGCTTTTTAGCAGCTGTAATGCGCAAGCAGGTCCAAGGCAGAACCCAGAAAGCCACACAGAATCACACTCACCCTGGGCCTGGAGGCAGCTGCCACTCCTTGAGGCGTCTCTGAAATGCCAGCATCACATGCCCTTGTCCCACCAGAAGCTGCTAGCTCCTCAGAGATCATCTGCACCTGGGTGAGCCAGGCCTTCAGGAAGCTGGGCACAGTTCTGGGGGACCCTCAGCCCCTCCCCAGATACCTGGTCACAGGGAGCATGTGCCTCTCAAGTTAGGAGAGGACCTCTCCAGCCAACAGAGCTACCTTCCCTGACCCACCCCACTCCCCACTGCTCCCCCAGGCTCAGAACTACAGAAGCCAGCCAAGAGCAGGCATGTGGCTCTAGCACAATGGGGTGGGGACATACCCGCCACTGGGTGAATTCGCTGAGGGACTCAGGTCCATAGTGCACATGCCTAATAGCAGATCTCACAAAATCCGCCTGGACTTTCTCAGTCTTCTCTTCGGGGCCCAGGGCACCCATGAACTTCTCCCAGTGAGCCGTAACCTGGTGTGAGGAGGATCAGACAGATCCTGGCTATCTAGCCCTCGCTCCACGGCCACAGGTGTCTGAGCTTTACCACCCACTAGAAGCCTGTTGGGAGTATAGCGTCTTCGCGACAGCTGGGCAGATCAAAGTACCACACACAACTGAACTGTCCTGGCATCAGTGTCCCTGCCATACCACCTGCACACTTAGAGGGTTGTCAGGAGAGCCCCCTGCCCTTACCCTGTTGGTCAGCTCCCGGTTCAGGTTCTCCACCTGGGTGTAAGTTGAGGAAGCATCCTTGCCATTGATCTTCCGCAGATTGGGCAGCAGAAAGGAGACCTTCAGGTTGTCGTTGACCTGGGAGAAGAACAAAGAGTGGAGACTGAGTTTCATGGAGCCCTCACCCAGGAATGGGACTGAGAGAAGGGAGACTCACCGTCAGGAAGGGGTTGCCTTCCAGGCTCAGCTCCTCTAGTTTTGGGAACTGGCACAAGGCGATGATGTCTTCTAGTTGGTTGTTGGCGCAGCGGAGGATGCGAAGATGGGACAGGCCTAGGTTGGCTGGCAGTGTCTCCAGCTGGTTGTTGGAGAGGTCAAGCTCTTGCAACTGCGTCAGGCGGCGCAGCAGCTTCGGGTCCAGGTGCTCGGAAAGCAGCTCCATGCCTGATAAGCTGGGGTGGGGTCAGAGCCAGAGGGCTCACGGAGCAGCCAGGCCTTGCGTCGCCCGGCCAGGCTTCCCAGGCTGCAGCAACGCGTTTCCACCTGCTACCTCTGCACGCACAGCCTCCCCTTGTAACTACTTCAGATCCCCAGGGCCTTCGGCGCCTTCCGGAAGACTTGCTGTTCCTCCGGGGGGCTTCTTTATGCTGCTCAGGCCCTCTGAACACTGACTCCAGCAGAGGCAAGGCCCCTGGGGACCCACCCTTCCACGGTGGGGCGGCAAAGGTCCCGCGCATCTCTTAACCAGACATCTGGCGCCAGAAATTAGAGATTCCTCGCAAGCGGGAAGGGAATGAGGGGGCCGTCGGGGGGCGCTTTCTTTCCTCCCCCCGGGGAGGCCCGGGCTGGGCCGGGGGTCTGAGGAGCCCCGCGGACACATCCTCGCCCCCCGCAGACTTACTCCAGGCACCGGATCTTCCCCAGCCGGTCGCTCTTGGGTTGCCCGCGCTCCATGAGCAGCCGTGCAGTGAGAGGCCCCATGGCGAAGAGGCGCGTCTTGGGCCAGCTCGCTGGCGCCCCAGCATCCGGCGGAGCCCGCGCCGCCGGCCGTCAGATACCCGCGCTTGCGGGTGAGGCGCTTAGGAGGCAGCACCGCGCAGTCCCGCGGTCGCTGCGACCGGAAGGAAGTGGTGCGAAAACCGCAGGCCCTACATGGACTACAACTCCCGTCAGGCCTCGCGCATGCGCAGGCGCTTGGCCTCCTGGACGGCGCGATGACGGCTGAGGCGGCTACGGCGGAGGTCTCTCAGGTTTTCCAGGAGTGTGGCTGCAAGGGTATCCGGACCTGTCTGATTTGCGAGAGGCAGCGCCAGGTTGACCCTCCCTGGCAGCTCTCCCAGCAGGTAAGGACTGCGAACACAAACTGTTCTTCATATGGGGAAACTGAGGCCCAGCTTGGCCCCATACTCGGCTGGGATTTGGATCAAAGCCTGTCAGGGACCTTGGCGGTGGGCATGCTGTGGGGTGAAGATTGTGAGCAGGGATCTCGGGAGTGGGCGGGTCAGACCAAAGCCCTCTTTTGGGGGGACTTGGGAAGAAGCTGTCAGCAAACATCGGCATGGCTCCTCGGGTCTGATTAGGTTCTTCTCTGTCACGAAGAGCCACCGTACTGAAAGGGCAGAGGGCACCAAGCATGTAGGTGGCCCGAAGGCCTTTCAGGCAAGTAAATGAATGAAATTAATAAAAAACGCCTTCTATAGAAGCCGGCAGGGGGCTGGTGAGATGGCTCAGTGGTCTAAAGCACCTACTTGGAACAAGCTTAGCTAAAGCAGAGGGACCGCGGTTCAATCCCCCAGCACCACATGCCAGCCAGCCCCGCCCCCTGGTGGGCTGAGCTGGCCACACACACAAAAATA